AGGAGTTAAAGGTATATGTATTTTTTAATAAATACCTGTATGAAAGATGTTAGGCACAAAACCAAACTGAAGGGCTTTCCATCTTTCTCACTACAATTTAATAAAAGGATTTGAGACACCAATTTTTCTATCTCCCACTGATGTAAGTGGTTTGGGATCTCAAATAAAAATAATATATTTCTCTACCATTGATACCCCCAAGTGAAAGCTGTATGAGAAAACTGTAAGAAAGTCCAGCCCCACACCACCCGCCACCACCAAGTAAGGGAACAGGGAGAATGAAACTGTCAAGGACAGAGGAAAGAACAGAAAGTATTTTAGAAAAGAATCATCCCTAGGGAACTAGGACAATTTATATTTGTGTATATTAATGGAATTTTAATTTTAAGTCAAATGGTAAAATATAACTTTCAAAACTCAATTGACTACTAGGAACTAAATTACCTAACAATTAATTCAGTATATACATACTGTGTCAATTCAATGGGACTTGTATCTTATGGATACTTAATATTATTTGATGATGAGAATGATGAGAAGGAGGTATAAATCCTACTTTTTTTTTTCCAAGTGTGGCACTGGTATTACCAACATGAAGAAGAGATGGATAAAGCAATTCAGCAACTCAGCAACTAAAGAATTAATCAAGTTCTAATTTTGTTTGTTTGTTTCTTTTTACCAGAATTCTGTTTTATTTGACATATTTTAAATCCTTACTTTGGCATTTAAGAAATAGATACGTTTTTTTCTCAATATACACACATAACATTTTTAACTTGCCTTTAATGAAACTAAATGTGTGTTTCACTCTGAATAATACAATAGATGTGGAATAAATTCACTGTTTCAAAAATTTAAGGAAGTAAAGGAGGTTTAAACATCTTCCTCCCTTATTAAGAATTTCAATAGGTATGCATTTCTCAAATAAATAATGAGAAAGGAGACTGAAGGAAGAATAATATTTAAGTTATAAAAACATGCCTAATAAATAATAAGAAATAAAATAATTTATGGCAGTAAAATCATGGTATTAGGCACTGGAAGTTCTGAAGGTGAACTTACAAATTTGGGCTGAGGTTGAATAGATGTGGGCGCAAATGTTGGCTCTACCAGGTATGTGGTTGCTGTTTGCAAATTGACTCACCTGAGAAATAGAGATAATACTATGGCATTATTTTTTGTTTTAGGGATAAAAACAAATAATGTAAGGACTACAGTTGATAGAGAGCTTTGGAAAGCATTTATTAAATGAGACATGTCATAACTATCCTTTTAAGGATTCAAAATGCAGCGGGAAGAGAAATACTGGCTAAATATGATCACTGCTATAATAGAATAACACATGCTATGAGTGCTCTGGGAAGAAAAAGATTAATTCCAGCTGGTGAAAAATGCAAAGGTTTCATTGGAGAAATAGTATTTATGTTACTCTTGAACTTCCTCAGTGGATTAGGGGTTAGGTAGGGGAAACAGGGGGAGCCAGGAAGGCACCAAGTTAAATAAGCCATATATTCAAATACACATGTGTGTTTGGGGGTGAGGAGAATGGTGATGGAAAACTTGGTGAAGAGTAGGAGACTTTTTAGTCAGAGAACAGGCTAATGCACTGCTGTGGTGAGGAAGAAGAACTGAGAAAGCGAGTGGAAGGGGAAGGAATGTTAAGAATTATGGGGATTAAGTTGGAGCCAAATTACAGAGAATCTGGAACACCATGCCAAGGACTTTCGTCTTTGTTCTCAAGTCACAGAGCAAGAGGGTTGAAACAAATAAACACTAAGTCACCTCCTAGGAAATTTCATCTTGTTGCCCCAAAATGTATAATTTGCTTCTCCCTGGATATGTCTAAGCAATTTATCTCATTCCTCACAGAGGAAATTCAATGATTCTTTGAACCAAAGTTAACATGTTTCTGTGTTGCTGATTGACAAGCCCTGGGTAAGCAAGGGGAGTAGGATGAATGGGCAGCAAGATGGATTCTGTTTTATTTTTTCCTAAAAACCAACACATCTACAACAAGAGATGAACATTAAATATTCTAAAGAAAAACATTTCAAGGGTAGTAGCTTTCTCCTTCCTGTGTGAAAGAGTTTTAAGATGCTTAAACCAAACTACTGGATAAATTTTGCAAGAATAGGAAGAGGTGGAGATGACTCACATTGCTGTTTAAACTCGTTTTTATTTTTTGCCCGAAGCACAAACATCAAGATAAAAAGTGAGGTCCTGGAAGGGCAAATAAGGATACTGAGAATGAATCATAGCAACTACCTCACTGACATTGAAGACCATGGATGAGTCTAAAGACAGCTCCCAATGAGCCCACCCCTTCCTATGTACTCATGCTACTTCTCCCATGAGAGACATTGCTTCTCCTTGCTCCTGTTAACCTGGGGCAGGGCTGGTGACTATTTTAATCTATATTATGTGGAGGAAACAACATTCTAGTGACTTTGGAGCTCAAGCATTAAGAAGGCCTGGTAGCTTCCAGGCCTTTCCTGGAGTGCGGAAACATCATGTAAGAAGTCCAGGTTACCCTGCTGGAGAAGCCACAAGAAGAAGGCCTAGGAGATTAGACACTGCATTGAGAGAGGAAAGAAGAGGCATTGAGGCCTCAAATACCCAGCTCTGAGCCCAGACATAGCCATCATTTGACTTCCACTACATGGGAGACCACAGTAAAAACACCATAGAAGTGGCCCTGCTGACCCCCAGCCAATCTGTGGAATCCTGAATATAATAAAACTAGAGGCCCAATGCACGAAATTCGTGCAAGAGTAGGCCTTTCTTCCCCTGGCTGCCGGCACTGGCTTTCCTCTGGCACCCAGGACCCAGGCTACCCTCCGACCACTGGCAGGCACCTGGGACCTGGGCTTCCCTCGCAGCCCCAGCTTCATCTGGAAGGTTGTCTGGAAGGACGTCCAGAAGGATGTCTGGTCTAATTAGCATATTATGCTCTTATTATTATAGAGAGTTGCTATCATTTGTGGTGGTTTGTTCAGCAGCAATACTTACCCAAAACAATGAGGATGTTGACCTGTGAAACCACAAGAAATTTTCATACCTTTGGAACATGGCAATTGTCAACAAGCTGGGAAGATTCCCTTTCTATGAGAAAGAGTATTAGTAACCTTCATGCTCTTTCTATATCTTACTGACAATAGTGAGGTAGAAACTCAAGTAGGATTATAAGATAAATATAAGCCCTGACCAGTTTGGCTCTGGCTCAGTGGATGGAGCGTCGGCCTGCAGACTGAAGGGTCCCAGGTTCGATTCCGGTCAAGGGCATGTACCTTGGTTGTGGGCACATACCCAGTGGGGGGCTGGCAGGGGGGCATGCAGGAGGCAGCTGATCGATATTTCTCTCTCATTGATGTTTCTAACTCTATCCCTCTCCCTTCTTCTCTGTAAAATACCAATAAAATATATTTTTTTTAAAAGATAAATACAAGATTCCTGGTTAAATTTGAATTTCAGATAAACACAATTATTTTGTAATATAATTGTGTTCCATGCAATATTTAAGACACACTTATACTAAAATATATTTGTTGTTAATCTGAAATTCAAATTTATCTAGGCATTCTGTGCTTTTATTTGCTAAATCTAATCACTCTACATGTAGGAACTGCTTTATCTTGACATTACAAAATGATTCCAAAGCTTTGGAGATAATAAATGTAGATTAACTCTTTGTGCATGACTCCATGGAAGGCATAGAGGGATCACACAGGAATGAAAGACAAAATCTCTGATAGCTCCTAGGAACAACTTTTCCAAGTCTGAGGAGGAGCAGATGGGGTAGAAATCCCGAAGAAGACTGAGAATAGAAGCCAAGCAACCAACAGGGAGGATGGCCCCAGGGTTAACAGTTCCTGAGTCCAGTGTAGATCCTGACCTGGTGTAAGTGCAATGTCCCTTCCTCCTTAGAGGGATCACCTGGCCACACTGGCTTGTTTCTCATCTACATCATAAGACAGGTTGTGCTAAGTTCCTTCCAACTCTTGCATTCCATAATTCTGAGTGCCGACAGTAGAAATAGAATTCACATTAAGGACATAAAGTTGAGATTTGGGATTTTTCCCAGGCTTCGAAATTGTGTTTTACACAACTAATATCAACTGGCTGGGGATCCCTATTTATTCCTTTTCCAAATCTATTTCTGGATTAAAGGATTTCTCAGGTCATTTTACTAAATCTTCCCATTAAAGTACAATAATATATTGCATTAAAAGCTTAGGGTGGAAAGCTTCAGGCCCTCTTTTATGAGTTAATGGTGACCAAGTTAGCGTTGTGCATGAAAAAAGAACTCTGGTTTTTAAATAGTGGAAAGGAATGGAAAGCAAGTGTCTTAAAAAATAGCAAGGTCTTCATCTTTCTGGAGAAAAAAAAATAATCTTTGGCATTATACTGCACTGCTCAATTATAGAATGAAATCCTTTCTAATCCTAGGCTCCTGATGGCCCAAGTTTGAAAAGTACCCTTAACTTAAACAGAAACTAACTCGTGGCGCATCCTGAAAAGATCTGGAAGGAGTAACTGGTAGGGTGTCTGAATGACTAGCTGTTTGCTGTAAGCATGTGGATGATAAACTCAGTTTCTAATGTAAAAGGTCAATTCACCAACATCCTCTAAAAATTGACTATATACAAGGCCCTGATAGTGATTTCATTTAATCCTCACAGCCCTGTTGTGTATTATTTATTTTATTTTATAGGTTCAGAGAGGCTCAGAAAATAAAATCTGTCCCCAAGATCACACAGCTGATGAAAGTAGTCAGCATGCAAATGTAACTCTGACTAATAATAAAGCACACACTTTCTTCTCCATTATGTTTGTCACAAAAACAGTTGAGGTATGTGAACATAGAACAGCTATATTTATTGTTCTTGTTTTGTGTTCTAAATTAATTTTAAAAGAACAAAACAAGATATAAATATTCCAGCAATGGAAAAAGGACTCATTTTGCATGGTGTTTCTGTCTCCAAGTCACTCTCTTTCCTTACCTGTCTTCGAAGGTCTCTTGTCTTCTTGCACATGTTGTCTATTGCAATATTCAGGGTATTACTCCTTTCCTTTTTTCCGGTCTGCAAGGGAGAAAAAAAAATGACATAAGTAATATATGAAATTACTCTTTGGCACTTAACAATTTGCCTTCTAAATTTTCTGAAAATAACAGCTTGAAAATTCAAGAATAGGTTTAAAATTCACTATGATATTGCATATGATTCATAAGCACTTCACATAAGACTAAGTAGAACGGTGATTAAAACTCACATTATTTTCTTCTTTAAGCGTCTGTAATAGGTCTGATACATGTTTGGGTTTCATTCATGGTGGCAGTAGGCAGAGCATTACCTCCCGAAACTGTGATCTTCATATCGACTTTTTAACAGCTAAGCATACAATTAACTTAAAAGCATTAGATGCCCAAATTGTCAACTTCTGTGGGAGTTTCTGAAGTCATTTTGATGGTGTATTGTGTAAGTTATGCAGAACTATACTGGAGTTTTGCTAAACACTAAATAAAATATGCAGTGCAAATTCATACAATTTGCAGAAGTTGACCACAATTTCAGCTGACAATATTCCAAGAACAAACTGTTTCGAGTTCTTAAGAACTGGAAGCTGTTTTTTGGCTCCTTAAGATAATTTGTGCAATACCTATTCATTCTTTAAGCAGAACAATTCTCTATGTTATACCCTTAACCTAAATCTTCAGGCTATTAAGTACATGGAGAGTCACCTTGGTTGGTATTTTCTACATACTACTTTTGTGGGAGACAATCAAAATTGAATCTAATCATACTTTCTTCAGCCATATCATGTTTAAAAGAGATTGAGAAAAATTACTATGTGATTCACCTCTAGAAAATTGCTACTATTTAAATTAATAAACTGAAAGGGCTTTTGAGAGGAGACCTTGAACATCAGGAAGGCAAGTTTAAACAGCTGATAACTGAGGAAGTTTATAGCATGGACTTCAGAAAGGACATTGAGGCGAAGTCTAGACCATTAGGCAGGATGCTGTATCCTACCTCCAATACATAAATCCATACCATCAAGTGGAAGGACTTCTTTACAGGAAGTTCAAGACCATCTATACTCTATCCTAACCTATCTTTTCAGTCTTATCTTCCACCACATATTCTTAAGTTCTGTCCTTTATAGTAATAATATTCTAATATTTTTCTATGTCTTTTTTTCCATGTTCTTTCATATAATGTACCTTTGACTTCAGCAAATGTCTCTTCAAATAGCCCCCTATTAAAATCCTACCTATTCTCCAATGGTTTCAACAAAGACTTCCCAGCAATCTACTCAAAAGCAAACTCTCACCTGTCCTTGTTCCCATAGCATTTTGAAAATTTCCCAATATACTCATTTTGTTTCTGTGCATAATCACTACCCTTACAAAACTGTTAGGATTGTGATGTTGGCAATGTATCTTAATTTTTTTTCTATTTCTGAAAGTAACTTGCATAGGACTTATTGAATGGTATTGACTAGTTTGTAAATGAACAACTTGACTCAAAACACAGCATAGTTTTGTTAGGGGCCTGCTCTATGCCAGGAAGGTGTCCTACTAAATTCTAGAGGAGACTTTAATATCTACCTATCAAGGCACAATGAAAATTCTCTATTGGTTGAGGTTTCTGGTACCCACCTAAACCTTTAGTTAGATCTAGATTTTTCTCAGCAACAGTGTTACTGATAGTTAAGATAGGGAAATCACCATCATTTGAGGCCACACTATATACACTGCAGGATGTTTGGCATCCACGCACCCCTGTCTACCAAAATCTCCAGTAACTCCCCGGCACTATGATAGCCAAAGTTTGACCCCACACATTTCCAGATGCCTCCTAGAGGGAGACACTGTAGAGAACTACTACGTCCTTTAACACATTTTATTTTTGAAAGAAAGTGTGAAATGTGTGCATGATGGAGATTGTGTCCAGTGAAGAAACAGGGAAGAAGACAAAGAGGGAGATAAGTGAAATTCTGGATGTTGAAATAGTAAGAGCAACAGTGACAATTACTTAGATAAAAGTGTGGCTACCTTTCCAGCTCCAACCAGAATTATCCATACTAGCAGTGTAAAACTGTGAAATGCTAATGCAGGGCTGTACAAGGCCATGGCATAAACAGATACACAATGGTATATAAGACAATTGGTAATTTCACCTAAAGAACTTAGCTCTTCTTCTCCAGTTCCATGCACTGCTAGCTCTACTGGAAAGTGTCTCTTTCCACTTCATGAAGTTAGAGATAGTCAAAAGGGGCAGGAGTGGTACAAAGAGAACACCCCCCCGCCCCGCCCCACCACCACCACACACACACAGGGTATCAGGAATAATATGAGCGACTTCTGTTGCGTTGGCCATAAAAACTCCCTAGCTTCTGCAATATGATTCATCAGAACAACTACAAAATGCCAGCCTGCACAGAGAGAGCAGCAGTGGCATGCAAGCTTTAATAAAGAATAACAGGAGGCGACAGCATGAAAAGATTCAAAATGGACTATAAAGATGATTTCTTAATTTCTACCCAGAGCTTAATCTTAGTTTAAAATGTTTCATTGGGTCAAAGACATTTTGTTCTCTAGGTACTAATAAACAGTCCCTGTCATTATAGGAAGTAAAAAGTCTTCCTTCTTTCTTCCCTTTCTCTCTTCTCCTTCTCCCCATCTTTCTTCTTTTTTCCACCTCCAGCTTTTTTATTGGGTTCTTGCTCTATTTATCCAGATTTATTGGGCTTCCATCAAGCCATTGAATGCTTTTATTCCTTTTGCATGGCATAAAAATAAATAAAGCAAGGAGAAATTGCCCCATCCTGCTTAAAAGCCCTCATTCCTTCTGTTTTCAAAGCCTTCACAAATCATCAAGCAATGAGCTAGGACTGAAGGTAAATTGTGTGTGCCGAGGTAAGGGATGGAAAGAGCACAACACAGATAACAGACAGAGCCTCTCTACATCCCAGGTACTCATCAGAGTGGATGCTCCTTAAAGAAAGCCCTGACAGGAGCCATCATTAAGTCAGCACAGCCCTGCTAATGGAAAAAGCACCACATACAGTGGAAAACCAGGGGGAAAGACGCTGTGAAAATATGGCATGGATCAGCACTATATAGAGAAAGCAATCACATTACTTATCAGTAAATAAACTGCCAGGAAAGATTTTATGAAAAAGAACAGTTTTGAGCATAAACTTCATTCAATAAAATTTTATTAAAAGTATTATTGCATATTATATATAAGTCCCAATGTTATTGAGGCGTATAATCTTTGCTATGTGTCTTTCCATCAATTCTGCCTCACCATTGCTCTCATGTCACTGCTACAGGTAATTGCAACTCTCTTGTATGGTTCCCTTGAAGCTGCCCACACCTTTAGAAAAAGTCCAATTATAAATAAACTCTCTTTGAATTATCCTAATTGGAGTGTTCCATCTGTTTTCTGTTGGGACTCTGTTGGGGAGAACTTTCTATTCTATGTTGTCCAAAATGGTAGCCACTAAGTCACATGTGGCTATTTAAATTTAAATTTTAATTAATTAAAACTAGGTTTCATTAAAAATTCAATTCATTAGTCCTTAATTTAAAGTGAGCATTAGGCACATGTGTTTAATGACTACTATATTGTACAGCAAAAATATAGAACATTTCCCTCATCTTAGAAAGATGTATTATACAGCAATATTTTAAAATATATCTTTTTTTAATTTCAATTGTATAAATGAGTCCCTACCTTTATACAAACCATCCTTTATTTGAGAATAAAATAGCAATAAACAGACACAAAATCCCAACCCTCCAAGGTGTTTACTCTCTAGTAAACTCGAGGTCTAATAATGACCATTCTTTGTTCTAAAGCCCTTCGTTCTATTCCCATTGTCAATGGAATTAAGAACAAACTCTTGATCATGGTGACCAAAGTGCCACATGATCTACTGTAAATTTTACTCAACATTAATTAATGAAATAATAGAATGGGTCCTTTATTTTCTAGGCAGTAAAATAACAACTCAGGAATGGCGCTTGTGGAAAAACTTCATTTTGCACTCTTGTCCTCTCTTTGGAGTATGGACTTTTTTTTTAAAGATTTAACTCAATTGCTAAATTTCACATGGAGTCTTTGTTGATCTTCTCAGTTGAAATTCACTATTCTCTTTCATGATACCTTCCTAAACATTTTTTTTATATTTCTTTTATAACACTTAGTTCAATAAACAGTTCAATCTATTTAAGAAATCTTTATTATCTACTATATTCCAGGCACCGTACTAAGGACCAATGATACATTAGATCTAGTGCAGTGGTTCTCAACCTGTGGGTCGTGACCTCTTTGGGGGTCGAACGACCCTTTCACAGGGGTCGCCTAAGACCATCGGAAAACACATATATAATTACATATTGAATTTGTGATTAATCACTTTGCTTTAATTATGTTCAATTTGTAACAATGAAAATACATCCTGCATATCAGGTGTTTACATTACGATTCCTAACAGTAGCAAAATTACAGTTATGAAGTAGCAACGAAAATAATTTTATGGTTGGGGGTCACCACAACATGAGGAACTGTATTAAAGGGTCGCGGCATTAGGAAGGTTGAGAACCACTGATCTAGTGCCTGCCTTTGAAGAATAATCATCTAGTGGTAGAAACAGACATAAACACAGTATTAGTAGAGGTACTAAGGGTGACATATATATAAATAGGAGAAGCCCCCCGCTCACCATTAAGGATGAAGGTATCAAATGAGTATTGAAGGATATGTTGAAATCAGCCAAGAGGGGCAGACAGAGAAGGCCACTTTAGGGGGACAGGGATAGCTTTAGCAATGGCAAAAGTCCTTATGGAGTATTTAGTAACTAGTATAAAAAGTATGAAGGGAGGCAAGATTTTGGAGATTTTTGCCATATTAAAAAATTTGAGCCCCATCGCTTCTCGGCCTTTTGGCTAAGATCAAGTATAAAAAAATGAGCCTTTAGGCAATTGGGAGTCATAGAAGTTAAGCTGATGAGTAACACAGGTAAATCATTATTTCAAATCATTGACTTGGTGGGAGTCTGCACAATATAT